AGCTTTCTGGTAGGGATGTGTTGATTCTCGATGTTACCGATTCTGGAACATTGGTATGTGTATCGAGAATAATTGATCGTCAAGAGTCAATGCCGCTACCGATACCAAGAAGTGGATAGGAATAATTCGAATGTGAAAATCAATTGATGAAATTCGACTATAGAATTTCGAATAAAAAAAAACACTATCGCATCTAAAAAGCAGTAACATAAAGGTCAGCTATGTATACACGCACGAAACACGGCTACCACATTAATTCAAACTGTTAAAATTTCTAACACAAGAAAATTCAGAGAGTACAGCTAGTATTGCACAATGGACAATTCAATGTCAGTCAAACAGCTACTGCATCGTCTTGCCCACATAAAAATATTGTGATATTAAGAGCATCAATAGTTTGCTCTATTGGAAAGAAAATTTTATTTCAAATTCATGTTTTTATTAAGAACATAATAGCTTTGACTATTAATACAACTAGACATTCCATCCCCATATTAAAATTTGTAGCCAGATTTTTTAAAGTTCATTATTTTAGTTAGTAAAAATAAATCTCGGCTACTATGCCTAACTAAAGATGTAGCCTAATTTAACAGACTTAGCAGAATAATTTAATCATGTTCTTGAAGAAGGCCTACTAAATGGCAAATTATAAGCAGTTGGAATTTAAACAACAATATATAACTTGGTTATTACAGTACTGGTAAATACAACCATAGACTAACCTACAAAAGTGGTTTTCTTGACTTTCTTGTAAATCTTAACCCTTCCAGGGCTGAATTAAATAAAGGGCTGGAGCTTAATTATTTTTTGCAAAAAATTAAAAACTAAAGTGGTTGCGTTTTGTATTTATTTAACTTGAAATAATTCATGGGTCATAAAAAGATTTTCCTTAGGGCTGCACTAATTTTTGTACAAAAGTTATGAAGAAAATAAAATTTGATTTGACGGATATATCCGTCTTTGGCCCACAAAAAACATAAGGTGGACGGATATATTCGTCTGCCGCCCTCAGTAATAATCACAAAATATGAACACTGCCAATAATCTTGAGTATCTTATGGGCGGCAGACGGATATATCCGTCAACCTTAGGCCATTCCTTCTCTTGTTTTATTTGTTATCCATAAAAATGTATCTATCATTCTGAAGTAAATCTAAACCACTCAGTTCCGCTCCCATGTCCTTAATCCCATTCCCCGCCAAGACTTCCACTACGTAAAGACTGTTCTTCATGTTCATCATATCCATCACATTCCATACTATTATTTTCACTGCCAATTATAAAACCCCTCTCAAGACATTGATTAAGCATCTCAATAACTTCTTCAAATTTCAGATCGTTTGCATTAGTACCTTTAGCTCAATAACATAAAAATAAAGTACAAAACACAAAATGTAAACATCACTCACTAACAACCATGTGTGAAGTGACAGCAATATTTACTTATGCACACTCTATGGTGCAAAATAGCCAAAACAGCTGCGGCAATTATTATTGCCAACCACAAAAACAAAATAACCCATTTATAATGCAGTGTAATGTTTATTACCGTATTATAAACATTGTGTATCAATTCGTTTTTTGGACACATATATCCCAGAAAAGAAATTTCTCGGGACGGATATACCCGTTTTCAGCCCGGAAAGTAAACAAAGATTGACGGATATATCCGTCCATAGCCCTGGAAGGGTTAAAGGTCTTTTCGTGTCTAGTTCATGTTGGTGACACTGATCAATGGGTCGACGAAATTTTGTTCCTATTATTTTAGGGGTAATTTTGTGATTTTTATTTTACTGTTCGGTTATATAACTAGGGGACGAGTTGACGAGTTATTGTCTATGATTACATTGTTTTATTTGGTTAATTGAGTTTTCTAAATAGCTGAAGTAACAAGAAACAAATTGTTACAAAACACGACCTCTACAGTGCACCAGACAGAACTAACAGCAAAATTGTCCTCAGCTGATCCATAAGGATGAGGAATCTGGGACATATCGATGGTTTATCTATGATACAACCTAATATTCTTGTGTCTTGGCCTATGTGTGTATGCGTTTGTGAGTAAATGTTCAGCTTGTAGACAGTGCTTATTACAGTAGAACCTCGCTAATTCGAATTTCAGAGGAAAGACAATATATTTCGAATTATAGGAAGTTTGAAATATAGAGAGTTTGAATTATAGAGGTCAGAATAAATAACATTCAAATTATGGAGGTCCCAGTTTTAAGTGTAGAGAGTTTGAGAAAACGGAGACTAATGAACACATCGACAACATCAATAAAGTACATGTTGTCAGTTCATGTTTCAACAGGCATATTTGTTGTTCTAAATTCGAATTTCAGAGGCTTACGGTGACACAGTTCAAATTGTAGAGGTTAACTTCGAATTTTGGAGGTAACAATTTGAATAATGGCTACAAAATTTGAATTGTAGAGGCTGCAATAATCGAAAAAATCACTTTGAATTATCGGTATATTATTTTTCAAATTTTAGAGGTTTTCTGAGGGTAACAGACAAACATTACTAATTATAGAGGTTTTCGAATTATTGAGGTTCGAATTAGTGAGGTTCTACTGTAGTTGTAAATGTGTGAGTAATTTTTGTGAATATTCCATGTTGATGTTATGTGTATTTATAGTTTAACATTTTTGCTCTTGTTGTTAAGTAGGCCTACTGATTAATACAGTCTATGTCTTGTTAGTATTATTTTTTCAAGTCCCTAAAATCTTGTTGTGATCATTATTACCACACAAATAATGTTGACACAATTTATTAACTTTGGTGTGAATAATACTGCACTTCAATTTGAACTGTTATAACACTTATTGACACTTCTACAATGTGTGTATTGTATTCTTGTAGAAACCTAAAAATAATGTAATTTTTAATCTCAATAAACAATAAAGTTGATTTTACAGGGTTGGTACTGATTTTGGAAAATGAAATTCCCTGACTTTTCCAGGTTTTCCAGACTGATATTATACTTTTTCCAGGTATGCCGTAAGACGATATCGAATAGTCAGAATCAAGAGTTATTAGAAAAAATGTAGGCCTAAATAGTTTACTCATAAAACCAATAAGAAAAGAATTAAACATCTGGAATCTGGAAAATTAAGAGTACCAACTAACTTAACCTCACACTTTATGTTCTACTTGGCCTTGACTTGACACGAGCAGATAGACGATACGGTGCTTCTGATACTGATATATATCGATATTTTGCTTGCGATATCATCGGCTTATATCGGAAGAAACATGTGATATTGGAAAAATAACTACCATGCTTGTACCGGAGACAAAAAGTAGTACCAAACTAAAATATTAAATGTTTCAAATAACAGAATAAATTTTTTTTATAAACTCCTACAAGTGCAGTTTTTTGAATCAGTATTGGTATAAATTCAATGAGGAATTGTATTCAGTATCGTATTGAAATTGAAACGATGAATGTAGGCCTATCCTTCCGCGCATCGCAGTACTAGCCGTGTTTTCATACGTGGGATTATTATCCCGAAAACAGGATTTTTAGAGCATGAGCGGGATTTGAAGGGGATTTGGGATAAAACAGGAGTTTTGACTATGACGTCCGTTTTTATTTACTATGCTTTATTTTAGTGAAAAACTAACCCCAATCGAAGAAATTTCCTTAACAAAATATAATAGCAATGTTAAAACAACTATTTAAACGCAATATGTCTAATTTAACACTCAGAATTTAACATAAAAAATCTTAAGGGATTAAACGGGATTTCTTAACCCAGTGACCGGGATTATATTCTTTTGGTCGTGTAGAAACACTGGGAGCTCGGTGCGTTCAATTAAAGCCAGTAATCAGAGGGTGATGATAGAATGTCTGTCGATGTTCTATGTTTTTTATATCAATGGTAGGTTCCCGATGTTTTTGTTACATCGCTTTTTTCGTCAAACTTCCATGTTTTTGACCAAGTATTGAGATGTAGATGCAAAATGTAGTCTTTCAAGAGAAATTCCAGATTTTTTCCAAAATTCCCTGACTTTTCCAGACCAACAAAATTCCCTGACATTTCCAGGTTTTCCAGGTTTTCCCTGACCGTACCAACCCTGTTTTAATGATAAATAATAGGCCAAGTAAATATACTGTACTCTAATATTTTATAAATACCTAGCTAAATGTCATCCTTCTTATAAATGCCAAAATAGTGAGAAAAAAAACTCGTTTACAAAAAACCTAATACAACATAATCCCCTGGTAGAGGGCCCCTTCACAGCATGAAGCTGAGGGCCCCAAATGGTCCCAGTCCGGGCGTGCTTACTGAAAATAAGTGAACTGTTGTAGTTTGCTTGTTTATAGATATATTTTATTTGATTGACATGGCAAATTTATTTATTTTATACCAAGCTATAATATAAAATATATCAGCTATAATATATTGTATTTTACTAAAAAACACACTTTATTACCCTCTCTGTAGCAGGAAACCGAGGTACTCTTTGAACCTAATGTTAGTTTAATAGATTTAAGTGTAAATAAAAAAAGGCCTAATTGGAGATCCTGTCCCTACAAAGATAAACAATACTCTGTAACAAGGATTACTCACTGCCTACTAGTGTTGCATGAAGAAAATAATGAACATTAGAATTTCCCAACTGTATTGATGTTATTTTCCGCAAGGCATGTTTGAATATAAATTTAAAAAAAAAACTTCACCAATATTTCTGAATTTTTAGAAATTCAGGAATATTGGTGAAGTTTTTATCTTAAATATATATTAATTCCAATATTACCAGTTCTTCTTGAAGACATGTTTGAATGTCTATTAACAAAAGTATTTATTTCTCATTTCATAATTTCACATTTTAGTAACGTAACATCTAATGAATCAAACTTCCCTTATAATTTAATTTATGTACATCTCTGATTATAAAATACATTTCATATACTTCCATTAGTAGTCTTTTTTGTGATTTTTGTCTGTAGAATATTGTTGCATTTTAAAATGTAAAAGAAAAATATGAGTTACCTGTAATCTGCCATCAAGCGTTCGCTGTATGGTTACACACTTGCTGGGGTGGGACCCATTTGTAGTAATAGCTGTAATTAAGCTATCTAATTCATCACGTTTCTCCTGTGAAAATTATTTTAATCAGTCATGTAGACCAAAAAATGGGATAAATCACATAATTACTAGATTGGCCAAATCAACACTAATTTAAAATTAATTGGCAGTGTCAAAGAGATTAAAATAAGTCAAATTAGTTCTTGAGGTCTGAGTATTTGTTAAAAAATGAATGGTTCTTCTATCTTACAATGCTTGTTTTTTTTTTACATTACAGTTTTTAGCAATTTTAGTTGGTGCTCAAATATGAGAAATCATCTGCTGGTTAGGTACAGTAGAACCCCTCATATCCGACCATGATAGGACCATGGCAATCGGAACGGCCAAAAGGTCGGATATCGGGAGGAGCATAACCTGCAGTCTCTGCGACTTTGGTAATCGTCTCCCGCGATTACGGCAACATCTACGATCAGTCTTTCGGTTAACTGATCACGCTCGGCATTATCAGTTTTATCAGTACATAAGATCAGCGTTATCAATACATAAAAAACGATAGTGATTAGCAGGTACTTTCCTGTTATCTGGTACCTACGAAAAAATTCTTTCCTATTATCTGGTACCTGGTTGTACTTTGGTTAGGTTAGGTTAGTTTATCAATAACATGAGTATTGTAAGTAAACGAACCTAGCCTAACCTAACCTAACCTAACCAAACCTAACCTAACCTAGCCTAACCTAACCAAACCTAAACCTAAACCTAAACGGTAGTATGTGCTCCGGACTCTGGATCGACGAAGTTGTATTTGTGGTTAAAGAATTTTTTCGCAGGTACCAGATAACAGGAAAGTACCGATAGGCCTATCACTATCGTTTTCTATGTTTTTTATGTTTTGTGTAAAATGTGTGTTTATTTATTTATTCTGACGACACATCAAGTGGATCCTTTTGTTTGCTTGACGATGGCGGAGATGCTTAAATAGCCGCCTATCGTTTGTAAGCCTGCTATCGTTTGAAAACCAAACGAAGTTGATTTTTCTTTACCTTCTTCATCTTCAGACGAGGAGGACTTTTCCTGGACAATAAACTTTTTTATTTGTTGAACAGGGATGGTTTGGTTGGGTTTTCTTGGCTCTTTCCTTTTTTTATCTGTTTGTTTTTCACATTTTTTTTTATATCAAACAGCCCATTTTTCTTAGCCTTTTCTTTCATTTTAACTATTTTAGCATTTTCTTTTTTATTTCTTTCTCTTTCTTCCAGCTCCAACTCTAAAAATGCCTATCCCCTTTTGTCCAACTCAAAACCATCCCATTTTGTCCAACTCCGACACATTTGGAATCAAATATGGCTGCTGCCAGAACTAAGCAGCAAAACTACAAGGTGATCACATAAAAATATTCGGAAATAAACAGCAAACAAAATATAATATTACCAAAATTGTATTCCCTTAATACTTACTTTATCTTACTAATATTATAAATGTGAAAGTTTGTGCATTTGTTTGTTTGTTTATTTGTTTGTTTGTTTGTTTGAAGTTCAATCATGCATTAAATACTTGTTGGATTGGGCTGAAATTTTGTATGATGATAGCTCACGTTCCCGATTAACATATAGACATATTCTTATCTCAAAACCCTTTCGGGCTCTGCCCCCATGGCTCTGAAGTTTCCCATATTAACCTTCTAAGTATTCATATTTAAAATGAATTAAAGAATTTAGTCAGCTGTTTCAACTACACAAGTTGGTTCTATGATATTCAATAGCATTATAAAATTATAAAGTTTACCAACAGTACTATAGATTTTTTGAATTTATGACAATAGCTAATTTGAACCAATGAGCAACAAAAAGCTATGATACACAATGAGAACATTACTTTTTTCTATTGTTTAGTTGCAGTGGTAGAACATTTTAGCTATGGTAGATGTGCTATAATATTGTATACTATAAATTAAAAGAACCAAATTTTCTTAAAACCGTGTTCTCTCGCATTGCAAACGCAAAGCACGAGTATAACTGCAATAAGAATTGTATACGCCAACCCCGTACGAAGAACGGGTACTCTGCCAGTACTTTAATACTTTCTTATTAAATGGCAACCATACAAAGTATGTATTTTAAGCCAAGTATGAATCCCACGCAGACACAATATCAATGAGATCTAGCAAGGTGTACAATGCACTATTATTTTTATCACATGCTACTTCACTTAGAATTATTACATCAAAAGCAGAGCTACTTGAGCCTAATTGTACATTCAGAGTATCCCAGTGCTTATTAATTGATATGATATTTAAGTGTTGCAGCTGGATACACTAAGCCTACAAAAATGAAAACAATCTGGACAATAAATAGCAATAGACTCTGGACAAAAACAACAGGAAATAAACTATTGGTCCTAAATAAATAACAATATGTAAACTCTGAAATAAACAACAACAACAAAACTAATAAAATCTGGAAGGTTAGAAACATTGAATTAGAATTTGAAAGATAAACAACAAGAAATAGGCTATGGTTGATGATAAGTAGAAAATAATAAAAGTAAGCAGTGAAAAGTATCCTTATATATAATTCTGTAAGACAAATTATTTACCAGAAAATTGTGGACATCTGGTAGGTCGCAGAAAAGTGGGAGGGGTCTTAAATTAAAGGTCTTGACCCCAGGGACTCGGGGAAAAATAGCAGAATTCCCATAAAGTTACCAGAAATCGAGATATAACGTAAAATGTTCTCCATAAGAATAGCATTAGAAGCCATTTACTGCTGATTTTGTTTACTGCAATACAGCTGATCGTAATTTATCATCAAGCCAGTACGCCATGTTAACATTTGGATTACTTATTTGCCAGTCAATTTTGCAATGTACTATATAAAACCAGGGATAACGTTACCTATAATAATTAAAACTTTTTAGTTAAGTTATAGAATGTGGAAATAAATGATTTTACTGAGAAACATTTCAAATTTGTGTATTTTTAATATTTAACATAAAATAACTACATTGACTAAATAGTTAACGATTCAAGATTAGGACAACTTCTGCTTTGTTTTTATTTAAAAACATATGTTATGTAGAGTTTAATCAATATTTTGTATGATGTGGAATAACCTCCAACGGCTACTCTTAGAAAATAACCTGGGAATAAAGATGGAATAGGTTCGTACAAGAAATATATATTTGTTAATTAAGTTAGTACTATGACAAGTTCCAATGGGAGGAAAAATAATATTGTTTGGAGATTTTAAACAAGTACTGTCTGTTGAGAGAGTACTCTCTGTCAAAAGAGTTAAGAATCAGCCGATGATTAGGCCTAATTTGATAGAATCGTAACGTCAATCGCACCTTTAAGAGGAATACCACCACATAAACCAACTACTAATTGTAGTTTTTTTATGTTGATCAGAAAAAATTTAGGGCTATGTTTGGTCAATGGGATGCCTTTACTTTACACTAATGTAGTTAAACCTTAACAAAAGGAGTATAGACTTAGAAATATTAACTGGGTAGGGGTGCTAATTTAGCGGGTTTGGCCAAGAACTAAGCTTACCTTAACACACCTTTCTTTGCATTTTTATATTTGACGAAGACAATTTCCAAAATTCCAATCAGGAGACCCTTTTTTCATCACCATAAACCATAAGACCAAAGCGACCTTAGTAAATCAGCATTTATTCACAAACAATTATATGTTTGCTGCCTTGAGCAGAGTTAAACCCATGTTGTGATTTGAATGATTTATTGAAAATAACATCAACAAAGGCAAACAAAGACAAACAGCAAACTGTTTTTACACAAAAGATATGACGTACAGGGATATCTATTCTGACGCATAGGATAATATCGTTCTTAGTTTGTTTAAATATTAGAATAATTTGTTTTATATTATCGAGTTTTTTAGGGACTTATGTCCCTACAAGCCACTAGTGTATATATAGTATTGGGGAACTTGGATTTCTGGGGAAGAAAAAGTGTTATCAGTTCTGATAAGAGTAGAGAGAATTTTATCTTTGAAGAGTGAGAGAACAAATATAAGTAAATTTATCTTATTTTTTTCAGGTCGTCCTTAGATCCTAATAACATTGATGTTATCATTCTCCTTTTTCCTCGCCAAAACCCGCCCGCCACTAAACCATACAAATTCATACTTATGAGTTGTAGCTCTTTTTTCGCTTCTTTATGTAGGCTTCTGTAGTATGGGCACATGTTCTTGTAGAAAAACATGTTGTTTAGTTTAGTCTTCCTCCCATTCTTCAGCCAGATGTCCCTTGTTCTCTTAGAGTAAAACTGTACCAAGACTGTCGGAGGATTGCCATCCCGTCTGGCCTGTAGCCTATGAGCATGATGGATGTGGTGAGGCTCAAGTTCCACGCCGATCTTCTTGGCTACTTGGTCCATCAAAGTTACAATCTCTTCATTTGGTTGTTTTGGCAAACCTTGTATTCTGAGGTTGAGTCTTCTGCCATATTGATCGAGCTCAGCTAAATCTAATTCCATTTTGTCAATGGCCTCTCGAGACGAATTCTCTTTAGCCTTAAGGACATCAACTTCTGATTTTAGGCTTTTATTTTGATTCCGGAGGCCAACAACCTCCTCCAAAAGTGCAATTTTCCGGTGCCTTTGTTCCCATTATCAATTAACTAGCTTTTGATTTTAAAAACTTTTTAATGATAAAAAACTTAATTAGTTATTAAATATTGTTTAAATGCAAAGTGTTAACGTATGCAAGTTGTCTGCTCAAACCGCCATATAGCAAAATCAATCTGGCATTTTAGCAGATACAATAATTAAAATCCATAGAAAAGGCTTTACTTTCTATTCTATTATTTCTACATTGTATTAGTCAATCCAGCTCAAATGTTGTAACTAGGTTGGTTATGGCCGTTTGGGCATTACAATGCCATCGTCAGATAACAAATCTCGGCTGAAGTAGCATCGTTGAAGTTAGAACACTTAACACATACGAACAATACGAATAAAATTTACAAAAACGATCAGGCCTGTCGTACAAACTGTACTGGTTGACATTGTTCCCGTCCCAGCAAATAAGATACAATAAGATTAGAATCATC